TTTTTCTCAGCTGCTGAGGCGTTACATCATCATAATTGCAATGATTTCACTGGAATATCTTCTGATTCACATGGAAATGAGAGAAGGCGGTCCTTGAGCTGATTGTTCTCTTATAGGAAACAATCACGGTATCCTTTCCAAAGGTGGCAGGAGTCAAAATGGCGGCAACTGCTGTTGGCAGGCTGACGGAAGTCACGGTTTGTCTTCAGCATTAAAGAAAAAAAGCTGCAAACTAAAACTACCAATGAATAGGCTTCTATGCAGCCTCAATTCTATTTTGTTAGCCTCGTTTACTGGGGGCTACATGCAAGCTGCAACTCTGCACATCAGACTGGGATATCTAGTGGCTGCGTTAACATATTGGAAGTAAAAACATCAGTTTGGTGCATGCTAAAAAGAAAGAGAGTATCCTCAAATCAGTCTCCACCCAAAATAATCACCTAAACTTTCCTTGAGGACAGCATCATAGTTTGCCTGGCTTTATTTGTTCTTCCACATTTACTATCTTCTTTCATCAAGCACTTCCTGAAAGTAGACTCTTTTAAATTCTTATGCATTACCCTATACATAAGTACACTTCCTATTTGGAAGCTATCAGTTATGATAGCTGGTGGTCATTTTATCCAATGTAAAAAAATGGCCAGGATTGGTTTAATTTGATAAAAAAAAAATCATTCCAATCCCACAATTTTGGGGACCACAAGGGGAAGGGAGGACTGTCCTGGAGATGAAAGCTGTTCAAAAGGTGGGGGGTAGCTAGCATGGTTGAATGAAATGGTTTTTTATGCTCTTAATTCTCTTTTCCTGAGGTTACGCTGTAAACACCAGTTGGGGGTTCAGTTACTACCACGTTGACATTATTGCTGTTGATTGTTGAGCGGCTTTTGCTGGATTAGAATAAGAGGGGAGAGAAGTGGGGAGAGACAGAGGATAGGGAGGTATCTTAGTTTTCATTTAGAGGATCAAATGAATGTTTCCTTATATTTTCACTTATTCATATGATACTGAACTATGATTAATAATTAAATTTTCACTCTCTTTAATACTTATTTTTCTTATGGGAGATGGAACATGTATCTGCGAGTCTAAATGACTTGTTTTCTACTCTTTAATGTCCCACTTAAAGCATATTATTCATAAGTTTGTTCCCACCTGAGGAGTTAACATGGTGGAATGTTATATAATGATAATGTGCTTTTTATCCGAAGGTCTCAGAGCATTATGCAAACACTAATGCTTTAAGCCTCATGGCAGCTCTGTGTGTTGGGTATTAGCTGCATTTTAGAGACTGAGTAAGTAAAGCACAGAGAAGTTAAGTGACTTATTGGATGGTAGTGGCTGAGGTAGGAACCAAAACAAGAAATGGGGTGCTGACAAATGTGCAGCTTCCCACTGTAACTCATGGCACTTCACAGAAAGTGCCATAAGTTATAGAAGCTGACCCAACAGACATTTGCTGCTGGGTCAGGCAGGGTGTGGGGATCAAGCTCCACTTTGGTGTCAATCCATTTGGAGTCAATCCAGGAAGAGCTTTGTGTTCGCAGGCTCTTT